GTCATTATCAAATATCAGTTCTAGAAAATATAGAAAATGAGAGTACCCCGAATGCTGGAAGGTGAATACTCCCAAAAGCTGGAAGGTTTATATTCTAAACTTGAAGGTGCAACCTTTAGAATCCCAAACACATTATTTCCTGATGAAACTAGTGGATCCCAAGGGAGATTCAGGTCCTACTGTGGCTTGAGATGTCAGGTCATTGATCAAGTATGCAAGCTGCAGAAATGTGTGTGCTATGAAATTTTAGTTAGTTAGATCCTTGACTCAGAATAGTCATCCCTAAAGGATGTCAACTAATAGATTAACAGTCTGAAGGGATTTGTCTAGTAGAAAACAACCAGGGAAAACTTGAAATCGCCTACTGTATTGGTGTCTAAACAGATAGTTGTGGAAGTATGAAATGGTGGAAGCTTGGTTTAGCACCACCAACATTTGAGCCTGAGCCGGGTAATGTGCTTGTTGAAGAAGAAAAGGTGTTCTCAGACACACACTGTGGCTTTGGGGTGTTTGGGACTGGAGGTAAGCAGCCTGTCTACATTCTCATCAGTTGTCAGGGAAGGAAGTGTGTGATACAGGATTTTCCATTTTAAAGGGCATAGATAAATGGAGTGGGTCTAAATGAGTGAGAGGGTATAAAAACCATGTTATTAAATAGCTCAGAGAAGAGGATACTTACGGAATTGTATTTTTAAGGCTGTCTAGGAACAAGGCATTGCATCTATGTTACAAGCTTTGGAATGTTGAATGGGGGGCAACTGGGAGAAATTTTAGGACTGGTTTTGATTCAGTAAAATTCGTAAACTTGAATAGCTTCAGATATGTCTAAAACAAGTAGTGTTTTAGATACTGGGGATTTTTTGTGTTATTGTAATGGGAGTTTTCATACTAGGTGATTAAAGAAGTGGTTCTGAACCTTTAGTCCTGAACCACTGTTGTAGATTAATGAAGGTAGTGTGGAAATGAGATATTTGAGCATTATCATGCAATGTTCGATACAACAAAAGTTGATACAGTTGCCTCTTGAACGACACAGGAAGTTGGGGCACTGATTCCCATCATGGTCGGAAGTTCATGTATAACTTTTGATTCCCCAAGCCTTACCAATAATAAAAACCAGTCGATTAACACATATTTTGTATGCCATACGTGTTAATCATTTTGTATTCTTAAAATAAAAGTTATCCAGAGGAAAAATGTTAATAAAATTTTAAGGAAGAGAAAAATATTTTGACTGTACTTACTGTGTTTATCGAAGAAACTAGCTGGTTTATTATAAGTGGACCTGTGTAATACCAACTGTGTTGTTTAGGGGTCAGCTGTATAAAATGTATTAATTATGAAGCCCTTCTGTGTTTCATAAACAAACACCTGTAAACCCAGCACTTACAAAGGAATTAGCACTACCCATACACATGACATGTTTCTGTAATATTTTGTCCATGTTTATTAGAATAACTTAATGGATAACATTAACAAAAACCTGATTGCCAGGACAGATGTACTAAAAGCTTTGGCGACAAGACTTTTTAAAATGTGGGGTTAGGGGAGAAAATAATAAATGGGGTCCTTGCTTACTAAGGTTGGAAAACAGTGGATTTAGTTAAGTCATTCAATAAGCAATCTCTAATTATGTAAGGTACAGGTGCTGAGAGGTTAAGTAAGAGACTTATCTAAAATCACATAAACAGTTACTGTTAGAAATGGAATCAGAACTTTTTTTTTTTTAAGATTTATTTTTTAAGTAATCTGTATACCCAACAAGGGTTTGAATTTAAAACCCTGAGATCAAGAGCTGTACGCTCTACCAGCTGATCCAGCCAGGTGCCCCAGAACTTGCTTTAACTTGAGTGTTGTAAATAACATGCCAAGAAGTGCTGGTGATTTCCTTACTTTTAGAAAGGTGCTGTTGATAAAGGTAGTACTCAGCTGCTTAGACTCCCACAGTGGATAAGATTGTAAGATCCTTGAGAACTGGGACTTAGTCATCTTTTCATTCATATCAATATTGTGTTGCTTATGATTTGTGTCCTATTACACTGAGTAATACATCTGAAATTGAAAGAAACATGGTAGAAAGACTTTTTATCTTAAGAAAAGTAGAATTTATAATTACATTGTTTATACCTTTGCCTCACATACACTCTATCATTAGAAAATAAAGGTCAGAGTTTTTTTCCTTTTGACTTGTCTCTTGACCTTAACAACCTTTGGCAGAGTCCTGCTTTGTGCTACTACCATCTCTAAGCTATACCTCTTACTGTTCTACTTTAGGGTATCTCTTTGTTTATATGCATATATGAAACTAACTTCTTTGAAATCTTGCAATCATGACTTGTTTAACTTAAATGCGCTCATTGACCACCCACCTGCCCAATCCACTGAGTATTAACAGAGGGCCCACTGTGTTCAAGGCACTGTCCTAGGAGCTGGGGACATAGTGGGTAGCAGAATCTCACAGAACTTCCAGCTATTAATTAGAGAATCACACAAATATTTAGAGAAATGTAGTTTAAATGGTAAATATATCTTCTATTTGATCATCTAACCATTTAGATGTGAAGGTCATTTATTGTAATATTTATGTATTTTTTAATTTAGTCATCTAATCTGGATTTCCTTTTACTTGATTCTCTTGGTTTTTCTAAGTTTGATACATTTGTTTACCTGGATGCATGTTGTTTTCCTTTTTAGTCTTTTGTATTACTGTGGTTATAGATTTTTAAATATTGAACTCTTCTTGCATTCATGGTATAAATTCCACTGCCTTGGTGCATTATTTGATATGCTGGTGCCTATTTAGGATGTTTGTGTTAACATTTATACGCATTTATCTATAGTTTTCCCTTACGTTATTGTTAGGATTTTTATATCAGCGTTCTTAATGCCATAACAAGAATTAGGCAGTTTCTGAAGAGGAAATTTAAATGTACTAAATTAATATTGAAAGTGCTTTTATATAGATACCTGGACTAAAGGATATATGCATGATTTTAATTAAATTTCCCTAATGTCCTTTGATTAATTACTTGCTGTAATTATGTAATTATGTAAACAGTTTTTTATGTTTAGCTTATTACTTAATGGTTGAAAACGTGACTGGAGAATTGCTGTCACATGCTAATTTAAAATAAACACTAGTTTGATACTGGACATTTTTAGGCAAGATTTCATTATGAAACTATACGTATTAAAAAGAACTTAAGGAATAAAGTCTTGCCTTTATGATGTAGTTAAATCCAAGGTACCTTCTTTTGATTTCTTAAAAATTGCACTTGCTATTCAGAGGTGCACGTTTGGTAAGCTTTGACAAGCAAATTGATAAGAGATAAGAGATAAGATTTAAGAGATAAGATTTGTTATAAAATAATATTGCCATCATTGAAGCAGAAAATGTATTGTAATACAGTATTTTCACTGATTTAATTAAGACTATCTGGGTAAGAACACGTTTGATCATGACTTTTTGCTGTGTTGGGTTTTATTTAGTAAAGTGATTATATAAATAGTTAAGAAAATTAAAGTGTGCATTCATATTTCATAGTTCCTTAATAGCAGTAGATTGAAATTCCATGTTTGGAAGGCATACAAAACAAATTTTAAAAATAAAAGGCATTTTACTTTTAAATATTAATGGATACAAGCCTCTTCCAAGGAGGATGTAATGTGTAGCATGGAGAGACAGTTGCAGAGACATTCAGCTAATTTAGTTAGCGACAATCCTTATTAGACAGTATAGTATGTTCTAATGGGCTGTCCCATAACACATTGTGGAAGCTTAATAAAGATTTCTTGAAAATTAATCATTTTTTTTTGTGCAAGTCTTGATTCACTGGATTTCTCTCTTGTATTTTTTCTTAAAAGTATATTTATACCTGGGAACTGTCCTAATAATTTTTTAAAAGGTCGTTGACTTTAGGTAATTCTGCTTTTCTTATATTTCATTCATTGACCTGATGTAGTTTGGTCTCTATTAACCATCTTTTCCTTGAAACTTCTCTGATCCCCAGAGGCTTAGGGGTCAACTCCAAGGTACCTCTCTTTTGCTCTTTACTTTACCATACTTCTGTGGTATTTGACATTGTTGATTACCCTGCTCTTGGGTCTGTCATTCTTAAGCTTCTTTGACACCTCTCTCTTCCCTGCTTTTGTTATCCACCTTCATTTCTTCTTGATTTGGATCTTCTTTGCTTTATTCCTTAAATGTTGCTTTTTCTAGGATCCATTCAGTCTTTCCTTCTGTCCTAAGACGTCTCTTCTGTTCCTTTAGCTTTGACTAACATATTTGTATATCAGACTCAGACTTCTGCTGAACTTAAAAATCTATGTATCTATTGGACATCTGTTCGGATATTCCAAAGATATCTAAAATAGCTAAGGAAGTAAACCAGCTTAAATCTTATTCAGATTAGTTCTGAAGTTTAAAAGAGCCTTTGTTATTAGTTTTGTCTGATAGGCCTTCTTATTTGACTAAGGCTCTTATTGGAATGACTGGCCTCATTTAAACATGGAGAAATTAGGTGAAATGACAGGTATATATATCATAGAGGGTAAGAGCTTCGGCTCTGCAGTAAACTTAAAATATAGGGGCCCTTGGATGACACAGTCAGAAATGTCTGACTTTTGGTCAGCTCAGGTCAATCTCAGGGTTGTGAGATCAGACTCCATTGGGCTCTGTGCTCAGGGCAGAGGCTGTCTGGGACTCTTCTCCCTCTGCCTGCCCCCTTTCCCCCAGTTTATTCTCTCAAATAAAAAAAAATCTTTTAAAAAAATATTATTTGGTTGATGTAAATTTGATTTCTGGTAGAAATTAATTAAGGCTATAGTCCTGTTAAACATAGACTTAATCCAGGGAATAATAGAATAGGTTAACAGTTCTTTACACTTTGAGTTTTAACACTTTATCAATGAAACCCTCCCCTACCTTCTTTTTATATTTTTTCCTTGACTAGGCGGAATATTTTTTTGTCTAACACATTTAAAATTTTTACTTTTAACAGAAATTAGCAGAGTACGGAAAGACATGTACAATGACACATTAAATGGCAGTACAGAGAAAAGGAGTGCAGAATTGCCTGATGCTGTGGGACCTATTGTTCAGTTACAAGAGAAACTTTATGTGCCTGTAAAAGAATATCCAGATGTAAGTATATTTTGTTGTTTATTCAATTTTTTTTTCTGCTTCACCTACTTTGGGAAGGGATGTATCTGGTGATAAATACTTAAGCATTGTCAGCAGCTTTGAAAAGAATGGCATGTGAGGGACTAAAGGTGTGATTAATTTGGTGTGGACAATTTAAAAAAAATTTTTTAGTTATGTTTTCATTTAGTTGCTGCGATGTCACTTTTGGAAATGCATATGTTAAAGACTTGGTTTTAGATTTCAAATCGAGGCCAGAATTATAGAAAGAGCTTTGGCCTGAATGTTGCAGAGGGCACCAAATACAATTCTCTACTCATCTTTAATCTGACCTCAGAAAAGGCACAACCTGGGCCATGTCATCCTTTCAGTAAAATGAGAAGTTGAACTATGTGACAGCTAAGCTTCCTTTCAGTTCCACAATTTTTATGATAACCACTGTTCATAATTTTTTTCTTTTGTCTTTTTCATTCTTGTTTCTTGCCTATTCTTCATAAACATCGTGTTTCAAGTAGCCTCCTTGTCCTATACCGCTTAATTTATAATTAGCTCCAAACTCTTTGTGTTTGTTACAAAGCCCTATGTCATATAGTTCTTTCTATCTCTCTGACCTCATCTTAAGTGATTTTCCCTCTTCCTCAATATGCTGTAGCACTGTAGTCACATTGACTATTAGAACAAGTCAGGTCTATTCCCAGCCTAAGTACATTTATGTTAGCTATATACTGGCTGGCTTCTTTTTTGTGATTAAGATTTTAGCTCAGATGTCACTCAGAAGCCTCCCCTCACTATTTTATCTAAAACAATCTGGTTACTCATTGTGTCACACTAAGTCTCTTTTTTTTTCTGAGGAGCACTTGCTATTTGGTATTTTTAAAATTATTATTTTTTATTTCTTTGCATCAGAAAACAAAGTACTTAAGAACCTTTTGTTATTGTTGTTTACCATGTACTCCCAGTATGCATAATATTTGCACATAATTGGCTCCAGGACCTTTTGAATAAATAAAGTCAAATGGGTGGTATTTTGCTAGGTCAGAGAATTATTCTGAAATCAAAACTATTCTGCAAGAAGGAGTTGGTATTGTAAGGTCAAACGTATATTTATATTCTAAGGTTCATTGATTCGGTGGACAGTATACTTATCTAAAGATGGAAAATAAATACCTTAAGTTGGATTAATGGAAAAACACATTGACATTTAACAAGTTGCATTTCTAATACCATTTTCTTTAAGGCTAGTACATTTACCTTGAAAGTACTTTTGGTTGCACACATATAAACAATTCTGGATAATGTAGGCAAAGAGTTTATTGGAAGATAATGTGGTATAAAAGGGTTAAAGAAATGGCTGGAGAACAAAACCTCATGTAAGAGAGGGCCCAGAGCAGCTCTGAGAACCTCAGCACTAGGAATTTGGACTTTCTCTTTGAGACCTTTACTTTTAACATAATTTGGCTTCAGCGCCTCCCAGACTATCTTCAAACTTAGATTCTTAGGAGAGCACATGTGTTTTGGACCAATCTACCATGACTAAAGATGGGGGGTTAACTAACATAACCTAGACGAGATTACTTTGGTCTCACCCTTGAGGATTGGAGTGATTTCCTAGAGATGAGAAATTATGATTTGGGCAGTTGTCCCAGTTGGTGTCTACTGCTGTTTGGTGTTTCATTATCTCCTAAATGATATCAACCTTGTCATCTGCTTCTTTAAAGGATAAAGTTTCAGCACTAGCCATTAACACAGAATTATGTAAGATCATCAGATCTTGTTAGAGAATATAACCTTGATCTGCCTGGTCCCCGTTGGAAAAAATCTTGTTCAGGGAAGGTGATATTTGTATTGCATTATTTAAAAGACATGTTTGAGGGGTACCTGGGTGGCTCATTTGGTTAAGCAGCTGCCTTTGGCTCAGGTTTTGATCCCCGTGTCCTGGGATTGAACCCCTTGTTGGGTTCCTTGCCCCATGGGGAGCCTGCTTCTCCATCTACCCTTCCCCCCAGTCGTGTGTGCTTGCTTTCTCTCTCCCCCTCTCTCAAATAAATAACACTTTTTTTTTTTTTTAAATCAAAGACGTGTTTGATATAATCCTCTAAGTCAGAAGGGATAGATTTTGTAGTGCGGGTCCAGAAGGAGGTAAATTTTCACTGTATTCCTGTCTTTTTCCCACCTGTTGGGCTTCATTACTATGGTCAGCTCCTGTTGCTGACAGGTGTTTGGTGGTGTACCATTGTCTAGGTCACTGGATCTCAAAATGTGGTCTCAGACTGTAGTATCCATGCCCTCTGGGAACTAACTTGTCAGTTAGTTTCAAGCCCTACTCTAGACCAGTTGAATCAGAAGCTCTAGGGGCAAGACCTAGCAATCTGCCTTCCAACCCATTTGCGTATAGGTGATTCTGATGCATGTTAAATTTTGAGGAGCACTGCTCTTACTTATCATCAGAATAAGCAGGGCTAACAGGTGGTTCTTTTGCCAAGCATTGTTCCAGGAGGCAGGTATAGTGTTGAATTAAACAATGCCTCTGCTTTTGGGGAGCAGACATTGTGGTAGCAGAAACTGGCAATAAACAAATGAATATTTATTTTAGGTGCAGTCAGTGCTATGGAAAAAACTAAGGTAGGCTAAGCATGTAAATGATGACTGTGTATTTTTGGTAATAGTATCTCTTAAGAGAGAAGGAATGCAGAGACATGACTGAAGTGATGAGGAGGAAGGCATGAAAATTATGTGAAGGGAGAACATTCCAGGCAGAGTGAACAGCATATGCGATGACTGAGGCATGAGTATCTTGGGAGGTGTGGGAAGATACAAGATCATGTAGGGGTTGTGGGCCCCAGTAGGGATATCAGATACTGTTCTGAGTGAAATGGGAAGCCACTCAGATATTTTGAGCCAAGGAGTGACATGGGCTCAGTTGTTTTTTAATAGATTCATTCTGGCTGCTGTGAGCAATGGTGACAACAGGGACACCAGCTTAGGGGGCAGAAGAGGAACTTGAACAAGAGGACATAGAAATTCTTGGATCCTGCATAGACTGTTAATTTAGAGCCAGTAGCATTTGCTGATATATTGGTTATGGAGTGTGAGGTAAGGCCAGGAATATCTCAAAGTTTTTAATCCATTGAATAACAGAATCCCTAGTTGCTGAGCTAGAAAAGACTAAGGCAGGAGCCCATTGGGAAGGTGGGGATTCCGCAGTTCTGATGTAGAGGTGTTGAGTTTGAAGTCAATTGTCAGTGTGTGGGCATACCAAATCGGCAGGTTGGTGGATGAGTTGCGGGTGACTTTTGGTACCCAACAATATCGATTTTAACAAAGCTTTTTAAATGAGAAATTTAGTTATAATTCATAAGAGGAGTGATAGGGATTTAAAACCATTCTGGTTCTCCAGATAATTTTTTTTAATACCTTAATTTTAACTCTGTTACAGGAATTTGTTATATTTTATACAAGAATTCTGTTAGAAGAATTAAGTTAATTAGGGTGTCTGGGTGGGTTAGTTGGTTAAATGTCCGACTCTTAATTTTGGCTCAAGTCATGATCTCAGAGTCCTGAGATTGAGCCTTGCCTCTGTCCTTGTCTGCTTAAGATATCTCTCTCTCTGTCTTCCTCTGCCCCTACTCCCCCAGTGTGTGTACATGTGTATGTGCGCGCGCTCTCTCTCTCAAAAAAGAAGAAAGAAGTTAATAAAGTGTGTTATGAGAATTTAAGATTTTTTCTTTGTGGTTATTAATTATACCAAATGAGTAGTAACTGTTTTGTGGTCTATATTAGGATATTTATGTCATCACCTTTTGAAAAAATGAAATACTATTAAAGTAAAACATAGGGGTCTGTCAGATTTTGGCAGTATGGGAAAAGATTTATTTCAGAATTATTAATTAGTTAATGGGCACAGTGAAACAAAGATGCATTCTTGCTTTTCTTCACTTACTGTATCTTAGAAATCATTTCATATGCTTCTCTTCCACCTTCCCCATTTGCATGTAGGTTTGATTTTGTGAGTGAATTCATTCTATTTAACTCAAAACTGCTTTTATTATTTAATATTTATTTTAGAGACATATGTATGCATGAGTGGTGGGGAGAGGGAGAGAAGATCTGAAGCAGCTTGCACTGAGCATGGAGTCTGATGCAGGGCTGGATCTCACGACCCTGAGATTACTACCTTAGCTGAAACCAAGAGCTCAACTGACTGTGGCACCCAGGTGCCCCTGCTTTCTTTATTATTAGAGCTTTGAAGGGGCATGTGACATAGTAGTCAAAAGTGTGGACTCAACCCAGACCTCTGCCTGGCTCTACCAATTTATTTTGTGACTTTGGGCAAATTACTGGTCATTTATGGTTCTCCATTTTCTTACATTTCTAAGGAAATAGTCTCTCACAGGTATATGAGGAGTTAAAAGTGAGTTAATACACGTAAAGCACTTGAAAAATGCCATAACACTGTATAAGTGTTAACTAGAACGCAGGGTCCATGAGGATGGGGATTTTGTGTCTCTTTGTATTCTCACTGCCTAGAATAGTATGTAGTGTTTACCATTACATTTACCATTGTATATGGTATAAATATTTGTTGTACATATCTGTGTGAAAGCTTCACTTTTTCAAATACTGCTAAACTTTTATTTTACTTTGTTCTTTGCATTTGCACATAACTTATTTTATAGAAGTATTAATTTGGAGATACTGTTTTGAACTTGGTTGTGTATAGCTCTGGGACTTACAAGAGAAGAAAGTTTTAGTATTTGAGAAATGAAGTAGTGTGGTATAATGTCCTTCACAGTATTTTTTTAATCAGTGGCTTAATGATGTTTAAATGGGAAGGGAATTGAAAATGAACTGAAAAATTCTTCAAAATTGATATTTAGTATTTATATTTATTAATAAAGCAGACTTTATTGCATCTCTGCTGTGTCCAAGCACGTCGTAGAGGTTGAGATATTAATTCCGTTGAGAAAACTCTTGGACATACTTGAATAATAGTGGGCTTTTGA